CCCCAAAACCCCAAAACCCCAAAACCCCAAAACCCCTAATTTTGCAAAGCTCATTGAATATTAGAATTGTCTAAAAATAAGGGTTCTCATTCATGACATTATTGTAATCAGTGATCTTCCAAGTTCTGAGCAATGGCTTGTTAGGCACAGGGGCTAGCTTATAGAGCTCGGTCCACCTAATATTGGTCTCAAACTTCACGACGTTCTTGACTTGTTCGCTATCATCACTTCCAAAAAGCACCTTAGTCTTGTTCTGGTTCCACACATACAATTTCATTGGGGAATGGATCAAAGCGGTCACTGAAATTAAGTATGGCTTGTATTCCAAGTCGAAGAAGTCAAAAACTGATCTATTATCTCCATTTTTGTTGGTATAAACCTTGAGAGGAGCTCCAAAGAAAGTGGACTCTTCAACATTATAAGCTTCTAATGGTTTGTTCTCAGCTCTATTAGCGCTAATTCCATGGTGAACTTCAACCTTAAGAATTTCGATCTTAGGCTGATGGACTCTTAAATTAGCCATTTCAATGTCAACACCTCTTGACTGGATATTATCAACAGTTGTCTTGATCTCATTGGCAAGTCTTGGCTCACAGACCCTGTCAATACCTTGATAATCAGGGATAGCTCAGGATTGATGGAAAACTCTGAAGAGCTCATTAAAATCTCTATCACATTCTCTATTAAAAATCCATTTATGCCAGAAATTGTCTTCCCCAAGAGGTTTGAACTCGGCTTCAAAATCTTCAATAATACCTTCAAAGTTCCAAGGGAACTCCAGGATGTACCCATGCTTGCTCTCGTTGAAGGTGAGGTCAGCCCCGAACTTCTGGCAGTTGTAGACTAATCTCTCCTCTTCAGTCATGCTCTCAAGCTTAGTCTCTTCTGTGACCTCTTCAACTTGGGCTTGGCAGAATCTTCTAGCTGGGATCGAAGAGATTTGGGTACATTTCTTGGCAAGAGCAAATGCTGATTTATTCTTAGAAATCAATGAACGCAAGGCAAACATTTATAATATAATTATTATAATAATTATAAGGGGTTTTGGGGTTTTGGGGTTTTGGGGTTTTGGGGTTTTGGGGTTTTGGGG